TACGATTGTTCAGTCGGTGTCTATCAAAGCGAAAAAATTAGGTTTGGCTACGGAGAATGTAAAAATTGAGTAATTGATTAACCACAGTTCTGCTTAAACTGCTCGACGTTTAAAGCTTATTTTTGGCAAATGTGAGAAAATTTTATCCAGTTTGTATGTTAATAGAAATTCTTACTTTGCTTTATCATCACCATTACAAATTATTAATTCGACGCGAACGAAGTCGCGGGTACACGCTAGTTTAAGTGTAAAATTAATTCGAACTCTAGTGTGTAGTTGGTTTACTTATGAAGAATATACTACACATTTTCTTATATTGCTATTTTTTGACCGCAAATGGTAAAATTATAACTAAGAGCTTCTCGCCCGTCGAGTGATATGCACCCTGTACACTGCTACGCAATTCAGGATCTACGCCGATCGAGGGGCAAGGCGTAGGTAGATCGGAATGTATACGTATAGACGAGTGGCGGAATTTTGGCTTTTTTATATCGTAATTTGTAAACAGCGCTTATTTGTAAATAACGATCCTTTTTAGAGAGGTATTTTAGATAACAATCGATTTTTAGAAATGTTTTGACACCCTGGAAATACTACCACCGAGCATGTCATTGTTGCAACTTGCAACTGCGTTAATACGCCCGGCGGTGACCGCCTCATACTCTTTCAGATATTTAGCAATAAAATAAAGAAACCTGTTATTTTTAAGCTGTTTTTTATAAATAACTATAACAGTTTCAACTGTTATCTAAAAATAATAGTTTTGCCCATCAATGTCACAGAGTCAAACCTTCTTTACACGACAGATCATAAAGTATAAAGTCAGGAGATCAAGAAAAAAACAAGAAAATCAAGAGAAAGTAGTAAAAAATAAACAAATTGTTTTTCAAAAAAATCAATCCTTCAGTAAAAAATCAATTCCCTCATAAACTAAACCTTACCGACTCTACGCCACTGGCCGCCACTATCCAACCTCACGCGCCGCGTTATCTCCCAAACACGGCAGCGTGCAAGACAGGTGCGTACTTTTACCTGTCCACCGGCGAACAGGTAAAATCCGATAAAGGCAGGTATGCAAAAGCGTACGGGTCGGAGTGCGTTCGCTATTGCTCGTTTCACGCTCTCCGTCAACTTCTGTTCTCCCGATAAGAGGCGCGCAGTTCGCCCCAGGTACCGGCATTACTTACGGTTTTGATTGTTTAATTAATTAAAAAGGTAAATTAATTAACATTGTTTTTTAATTAACCTGAATTTTTTCATAGTTCGGAAAAAAATATATTTTTCAAAGCTTCTTGTTTATTCAGGTTAAATATTTTGACTCTGTCTAAATAAATTATTTTTGTTGATTGATTAATTAATTGTAGACGATCCGGGGACATACTGTATACAGTAGGTACGTCTCTGGATCGTCTGTAAAAAAGTAAAAACTGTTTTATTAAGATTTTGAGGGAATTCATTAGTTACGATTTTGATTGTTAATTAATTATATAATTAAAAAGGTAAATTATTAATTAAAATTGTTTTTTAATTAACTTTATTTTTTGTAGAGTTCAAAGAAAAAATTGTTGTTTCTGAAGCTTTTTGTTTATTTAAGTTAATATTATTTATATCTATCTCACTGTCTTTATATAAATTATTTTAAATTACTGCCACAATTTTGGCGTTGATTAATTTTTATCAATTGAAAATGTAAAAATTATATACATGATGTCTCCGGATATTTTTACAAGAGGAAAAGCTTTTTATTATTAACACTGAACACAGAAAAATGCATTCTTCATAAAAAAATTGTTTGTTATTGGTTAATCCCGTTTATATTTTCCAAATTTTCATACTGTTTTAGAGAAGATTAAAAAGAAACATGAAAATATGGTTGAATTTTTCTATAACTCCTATAAGTCAAAAGGCGTTTGTATGGTAATATAATTTTGATAACTATTATCACTCTTTCCGTAGCATTGAACTAAATAAAAGCAAAACAATAACTAAAATTCTATCAATAACAACCTCTCATATAATGAAAGTTAAAATAAATTTACGGATGTAATCAATCCTTACATTTTTGATGACAAATTTGGCTAATTTATCGCTATCTACAAATGAAGGCATGAGAATACAATAAATTTAAAAAGTACGGAATTTTCTAGTACTAAAAATTATACAAAGTTTTTCCTCTGCCATAACATAAAAAGTTATGAGACACATATTACGATAAGTTGTTTTAGCTTTTAAAAAAATTGTACTTGAATTTTGATAATGATAAATACATGAAGAGTTTGAGATTATTAAAGGACTTCAATATTAGTTAGTATACTCAGTCTCAATTTCCAAATGTCTTGTTTTATATAGTAATTTTAATAAAAAAACGACATTTAACAAAAACAACTTTTTTATTAACAATAATTAACTGCCACAGTTCGTATTAAGAGTTTCTTTAGATAAAGCTATATACAGGGTGTCCCAGAAATAAATGTAAGTATTTAAGGGGTGGTAGGTTTCAATAAAAGAAACATTTTTTCTCTTTATCGTTTTTCAAATAAGTCCAAAATAACGGAGTTATTTTACTTTGAAAATTTCCAAAAAAATATTTTTTGCTAAAATTTTGAGAACCACTCGATCTTTTCTTAATTTTCTTTCTTGTAAATTTAATCTACTACCTATGTTGCCACATTATCAAGAAATTATTTTTTTTAAATAAAAACTAAAAAAATTCCAAAAAAATTTTCAAAAATTCCGAATTTTCTAAATTTTTTTTCGCGAAAAAAAACCTCATAGGCGTGTTTCTGGGGTTGAACTATACTGCCACACCCTGTATATAAAGTTATTTATGACTTTTATCTATATGTATAAAAATGAAATGACGGCTTTAGTTACACTAAAACTCGAGAAATTTTCGACCGATTTGGCTAATTTGATTTCGAAATATTTGTAGAAGTCCAAGGAAGATTTACGTGGTAAGAAAATATGAAGAAATTGCAAGAAAAATAGTAAAAACAACAATAGAAAATACATTTTTTGACAACTGGTTTGATATCTTTAATGAAGTTAACATTATTTTTTTTATTTTAGATGCAGAATTAAAAACAAATATTTTTTGTATTCAATATGTTCTTAAACTTTTTAAGGTTGATTATTACTATACCCTCCATATCAGCTCCTTTCCGTTTGCATAAAATATTACATCATGTAAATGAATAGGATAATGCACACTATACGTTCCGTTTTCCTTCCCTTCCATATTCTTTCCTTCCATACATTTTTTTGCGGACGGAAGCGTTTAAGAAACAGCGTTGTCAAGTTCTTACATTTGTACCAGCTCTGTTAAAAAAAATTTTGCTGGTATTTATTCATTCCTTCACCCCTTAATTAAAACTATTACCTTTTTCAAAAGATACAAATTTTTAAAATAAAACTTTCGTAATTATATAAATTGTGCAATAAAAGGTATGGAACGGATACGGAACGGAAGCTTACGTATAGCGTCAATACAATAAAAAATACGGAACGGATATGGAATGGAAACGGAAGGTATAGTGAGAATCAAACTTTATATTTCATATGGCTCTTTCATGCAAAATTGGAAAATATCATTAGCTATGGCCTTGATAAAAAATTAACAAAGTGTGTGAAGGCAGGAATCAGACTTCACTTTACTTATAAGGCGGTACAGTCAGCGTGTTCTATATATTTATCATTAGTATCTATAATATTGGCATAAACGCCATTGGCAAATTAGTTCTCACCAAAATTAACGAAAATATAACCTTGTCTGAGGTCGACATACGGGCTGAATTCTTCGAAATTTTGTCAGGAGACGGAAAGTAAGAGGAGGTCGAGCGTCGATTTTGGAACTATATCAGTATTGGCGTGCGCACAGGTTAAAGACCGCCTCGCATTTTCGGTTATTACATAACCTTAAACTTGAAAAAATAGGCCAATGTCAAAGCCAGATATTCGTTTGATTAGAGTGATTCACATTTCACGAAAAAAGGCCAATAATAGTTTTTTTCGGTGATTTTTTCAGTATTTTAAAAAAAATATGCATCACTAATCACTATTGTATTTTCCGGTTATTAATAAATTAGATTCATAAACAATGAAATAGTCTATCAAGATATTACCCAAAATTATTTGAATTGGATGGAAAATATAACCAAGATAGTGAAAACCTCTAGAATCAGGGCTTAAAAACTTCTTTAACTTATTTAAAAAAATCAAAAGATGGTGGATTTTTTCATCCTACTAAGCCAGAGCAAAAATCCTTCTAGAATTCTACTAAATTTTCTCTTTAGTTATTGAAATCTCCAACATTTTTCCAAAATTTCAACTTTATTAAATGTAGGATTTCTACTGAGTTGGCAACATTGATAGTTTATGTCTTCTGTACGTCTATGATTACATATACATATTCCTTTCTTTGAACTTTTCAAGCTCACTGAGAATTCTTTATTTGTAAGTTTATGGCTTCCTTTTTACATTTCCTAAACCGTTATTCTACATCCCACGCAACAACACATTTTACTAAACAAAAACAAAAAAAAATGGTAAAAAATCTCCTCATTAGGTAAAGAAAGTCCTATCTCATACACATTATCTTAAAGCTCTATCTGACGTACGGTAACAGTGACTATTTTTTTTCTAACTAGACTTTGAATGTTGAGTTAAAGCATGGAGCTTAATTGGGTTAAAATACCAAAGAAAACAGACTGTCAGATTGGTACTAGTAAGATAGTACTAATTTGGATCTTGACAAATATAGACACCGTTAAAAAGGAAGTTTTCTAGGTTCTTGTTAGGTGAACACAAAAATAATTCTATTTAGTGTTATTTTTTATATAAAGATACACTAAAAAAAAATGCCAGAAACGGCAAATATTTTTTTGGGAATATTTATTAGCATTTTTTAGCAACCCTACTATGGGGCATACCTAATTAATTTTATTTTTAATCATAATATCCTAAAATTAATACAACAAACATAATATATTTTTTCTTTTCAGGTCACCTGTACTCACCCTAATAATATTAGTGACAGTTTTACACAGCGTTGCCAGTAGACATGTAAGTAAATCAATAAATTCTAAAAATTAAAGTTTCTTATGTATTTATTATACTAGGGAAAAGAAAATGTTGTCATTGTTGCAAAAGTTTGAACTCACCCTGTGGAATTGTTAAACAAATTAAGGAAATTTAAAACCATTTATTATCAAAATGCATATTTTCTTGATAGTTTGTTTTTTGATTCATCCTAATACTTTTTTTCTGTTAGAGATATTGGCTTTTGAAAAAAAGATAATAACAATCTACAACAATTTTCGCATGCTTTTGTGAAAATGATAGAGATCAACTTCTGCATTTAGAACCGTCTCTGCTAGGGTTACTGCCTCAACCCCAACAAACAATAATAATATGACGTTTAAATGACAGTGACATTACAAAAAAAAATAACCACTATTTCATAGGTGTATTGATTGGAATCAAGAGCATAAGCGTACCATTGCGATAAAAAAAAAGTAGTACAAGAATTAGTAGTCCCAGATAGAACTCCTGGTCTATAAGGATATCGAGAAGTGGATATCGTCGTCACTATGAAAACAATACAATTATGCCACCTAACTTTTTAGGCGTTACCATGAATTTGGTAATAATTGGTAGGTATACGTGGCGAAATAAAAGTATAAAAAAATTACCTACCTTTTAAAAATGGACAATTTTTCAAGTTTTAAAAATATTTTATTATAGACCAGCAGATTAAATCATATTTTGTTGTACTACTTTTTTTTATCGCATTGGTACCTATGCTTTTAATGCCAAAATTGCTGTAAATCGTTAGTGTCTTCTTCAAAAGCGAATAACTTCAATAAAAATAAAACTACTGAGATGAACGAGAAAACAAACTATTGAGACTAAATACATCTTAATGAAAAATTTATTTCTATATTCATTATTTCATTAAACGGCTCCACAGGATGACTCAAACTTTTTTCTGTGTGTGATTGCTGCTTTTCAAATTATATTTATCACACTGTATATATTTTTTGTAAGAAAATAATTATGTCCGGACTATGCTTTTGTAGTAGACCACAGTTTAAAACGGATTTAAGTACCGAGAAATGAGTGGTACTATGTCCATAAATCATATGTTTACAATCTGCACAATTATTATAATTGACTTATTTTCTCTGGGAGACATGTATGTCCAAAGGACCGCACAAAGAGATAATCGATTCTTAATGCATCTGCGTTTACCAAGAGGAAAAAAACTCGACAAAATGTGTTCATTAAGGAAGGAAGAGATTATAACAGGTACTCATACAACAAACAATATGTACCTTGCTCTAGAAAAAATACACGTTTTGATATATAATGTCACTAGCGTGTACCCGCGACTCCGTTCGCGTCGAATTAATCGTTTGTAATGGTGATTATAAAGCAAAGCAAGAATTTCCATTAACATACAAACTGGATAAAATATTCTCACATTTATGTCAGCATCAGAAAAAAAAAATATGGCGATATTATTATATAACTTGGTAATATTTGGGGGGTAGTTTCATCCCGTTGGAATTTGACTTTCGAAAAATCCGTTTGACAAAAATAAGCTTTTTACGTCAAGCAGTTTAAGCAGAATCGTGGTTAATCAATTACCCAACTTTTAAAAAATTTCAAAATATGTAAAAAAACAAAATAAATTATGCGTGTCCAAGCGTTTTCCCAAAAGACTAACAGTTTTTTAAATAACAAATATTGTAATATTTGAGGGACGTTTTCACTCTCTTGGAATTTGAGATTCAAGAAACCCCTCCTTATTGAACCTCTACACCTCACAGTCAATCCGTTGCCAAAAATCAGCTTTAAACGTCACAACCTTAGAATTTGAGTTTCGAAAAATCCCTTCTTATCGAACCTCTACACCTTAAAGTCAATCCGTTTTCCAAAAATCATCGTTTTACCTCAAGCGCTTTAAGCAGGATCGTGATTAATCAATGACCAGCTTTTTCGAAACAAATATGTAGAATTAGAATTAGAATAAGTGGGAGGGGGGTTAATCTCTGCGACCTTAGAGATCTATTGTGTCCCCCTTTCTTGAGTTATAACTCATCATACAGTCCCAGGACTTCCTACGGAGACCCGTGTCCCTCACAGAGGAGCTACGACCCAGGCCGGGTAGACGAAACGGTAGCTTGTGTCGCCTGTTGGGTTTAGAGGTAGGAGGTAGGCTCCCGACCCTTGGAGGAGGTGGTAGCTTGTATGCCACTTGCGGAGGATGGTCTCACGCAAGTGTCAGCCACCTCTCCTGTAGTTCTCTTTGGGTTTGGCCCCTTGGAACTTTCATTGTTACTGTTCCCAGTGTCGCTAGGGGGTTTCCCCACAGCTTCACCGGTGATGTTTTTATTACTATTATTACCAGATCTCATAGTGTTCCTATGAGTCGCTAGGGACAGTCGGTCCACTTCTACAGAGCCCCGCATGTAGAAGTAAGGGGTAAAATACAATGGGGTGCCCCCCGGTGCCCCAAGGTTGAGGCTGTCCGTAGCCCCGCCCGGTATCGTTATATGTCTTGGTGCAATTCCCTGGCCACGACACTACAGTCAGGGACAAGACGATGAGTGAGATGCTTCTTAGACCAAGCCAAGTGCTAGAGGGGATTCCCCCGAGCACCTGACCAGGAGCTTCCCCACCAACGACAAGGTCTTGCTCTCCTAGGGGAAGAAACAAATATGTAAAAATATGTAAAAAAACAAAATAAAATATACGTGTTTAAGGTTTTTTTCAGAAACTGGACCGTTTATTAAATAAAAAATATTGTAATATTTGAGGGGTGGTTTCGCCCCCTTGGAACTGGAATTTCGAAAAATCCTTTCTTATTGAACATCTACACCCTAGAATCAACCTGTATGTCAAAATTGAGTCACTTAAGGATTTTATATACTATAGTATAGATATAGATTTTAACAAAACGTCAACGGTTTATAACAGACGTGCTCTGCGTTTGTGTTGGTTATTATTACCGTATGATCGAAAAAAAAGCGGCGCGGCGTCCAGTTGGCTTGGAAATGACGATCATATTTTCCATATAAAATGACAGCAGTCCTCATTTCATAGCCAACGCTGACGCCGTTTTTATTCGATCATACGGTAGAGTTTATAAAGAATATTCAAATTACAATTATTGTATACCTATGTATGCCTTTTAATAATACAAAAGAAATGGAAATAAATTATGTAATTACACTTACAGAACAGCTTGTTATCGTAACGAATAACAGCTCTGATATACAAAGGCCCCGGTATCCACCTGGAGCTACCTCTAAATAACAATAATCTTATTACAAATAAAAGAAGGAACGGGATGCCGATTAACCAGAACACTTGGAAGAGAATAACTTGCTGTCCTGCGGCGCATTAATTCATACTGCCATTAATGCAGAACTATAATCATCGTCTTTTAAAAAAGCTCTGATTTATTATGGAACGTGAATAATCAAAACAGTCTGAATTGGTAGATTTGTTACTCGTTTTTAGTGTTTGAATTTCGTATTCCGAATTTATATTTACGTCTTACTCTAAAACAGCGTACATACTATGCCAGAAACAAACCGAAACATGCAAAGGTCGCATTTCGTCGCCCAACTTTGTACGCGTTTACGCAACATTATACGCTTAAACGCGCCTGAAAACTAATCGTGAGGAGAGCGAGGGGGGATTTTTTTGGGCGTTTTTTGTCGCCTCGTTCAATTTTGTTTTGTTTTGAGCTATTTTCAAAAGGTGGCGGTATCTATACCGGAGGCAAAGGATTTTTTTTTCATAAATCTCAGCGAAATAAGTAAACCTAGACGTTTCTAAAATAGCTGTTCTTACGATGATATTTCCATATACAGGGTTGTTCACCACATACGACACGGAGTATTGTAGCTAAACGATTAGATTTTCACAAATTATAAGTTTTGGGTTCGTTGAAGAACTATTAGAGCTACAATTTAAAAATATTTTTACAAGATACAGAGTGTCCCAAATGAATAAAAAATATCAAAGTTGTATTTTTTTAAATGGAACATCCTGTATATTATTACATTTTTAGTTTCTACGATTAAAATAAAGGTAAATTTGATTAAGGTTTATTACACTTAAACCTTACCGTTTTTGAATTTTTTTCAATTTTGTGAAATTGCAGCAAACATTTTAAGGCTTCATTTCTCCAAGGGTATCAAAGTTTTTAATACTAAATATTTACTGAAGTTTATTTATTGATCAGTTATTGTGTGGCAATAATAAAAATAATACTACCTCATACAGAGTGTCTAAAAAATTATTTTAAATAATTTCTAGTTCTAAACGCCTATAACTTCTTTAATTTAAATTGAACGCCCTGTATCTTTTAGGAGAATCAGATGCACAATTTAATTGTCTATTAAATTGTATTATACCATTTTTTACCTATTTCTTCAAGTTTTCGTAGAAAATGCATTTTCTTATAATTCGGATGAGTGTACTTTCTTTTTGAACGGTGTAGGTAATCGGCACAACAGTCGGTACTGGGCTGAGGATAACCCCAGGGTTTTTCACGAGGTGCACACACAAAACCCTCAGAAATTGAACGTGTGGGCTGGTATTTTTGGAAATTCTATTGTAGGTCAGTTTAACGATATTGAGAAGAACGCACAAGTCACAGAACGCACAAGTCACAGAACAGCTATCTAGCAACTACTGCACCCGATCGTTCAACCTTGTGGCAAGTGAAAAAATGCGTAAACATCTAGAAATAATAAGAAAAAAACTCAAATTGGTCGAAGGAATTTATCCCTATCATTTACTCTGATAAATGTTTAAATAAATTTTTCAAATTTCAATCCTTCATATTTTCTCAATGACTCGACCGATTTTCAAAAACGAAGCGGGGAAATATAGAGAATAGAAAGCTCTTTTCATTGCGGCGCCACTTGACCCCCTTCCAATTTGAAAAAAGTTGGGGGATGACACCCCCGCTTAGAGGGTTGATGATCTTGCAGTCATTTTTGGGGCAAAAGTTGTCCCCCTCACAAACAAAATTGACGTGTTTTTGGATTTTTTGAAAAAAAAATACCCTGGCCGTTATGCCTTGCGGAACGTTTTCGATGGGCCACCCTGTATTGTAGCAGGGAATGTCGATGAAACTGTTTTCTTGTAAATTTATTGTATGTGACATTAATGATGTAAATCAATTATTAGAGTAGTTAGATGAGTCTCCATTTTTATTTTATATTATTACTAAAAATCTCTCTTGTATCTCATTGTTGTTACCTATAAAAGGTAGAGGGAATGATGACGTCTTAATTCCCGTTAAAAATGTCCCAAGGGAGTTATAACTCTATTTATGGTTAGCGTAACCAAGACGATATAAGCTTATATTAATCAATTAAAAAATAAATATATTATAAATTACTTTCTAACTGGATTAAACAATTTAGGACATAGCAGTTCCTCATTGTTGCACGTACCAAATCAACGTATTAGCAAAAATGTTCGGAGTACCTAATGAATATAATCAAGGAGCAATCGGATACACTCTAAATATACGAGCGATAGATAAGATAAATCAGTGGTTCTTATTAGGTTTTGCTCCGGCGGTTATTACTCAATAACTAATTACCGCCGTACATGGCTTCACAATTCCACCGATCATTAAGCAAATTGCACCCGGATTAGGATCCTAAAGAATTATGCGAATTCTGCTAAAGAAAAAAAATGAGATATATATCGAAGGGTACAGTTAGAAGTAGATAGTTGTGTTAAATTCAAAACACTTTAAGATCATTCTCGTGTTTTCAGTATATAGAGTGTGTCATTTTGGTTGCAAATGGATATGTCGTTTCGTTTATTAGTAAAGATAGAACTTTACTTTAAATACTTTTTATGGAGCCAAAGATACAAAATGCGTAAAAAATATAAAATTATTAATTTATCTAAATAGAGAGACAAGCGAGCCGCTACCTGATTTTGGAGGTATTGCAAAAAATTGTATGTGTTTCATGCATCCCACATTAGAGGTGGGAATTCTAGTTCCTCGGGAGGAACTAGTTCCTTAGTTTTAGTTCCTTCAGAGGAATAGTTCCGTGAACTAGGTATTTAGTTCACAATAGTTCCCGACTAACATTGACATCCCCGTTGCTTGCTAATGGGTTTCGTTGTCAGTCAGAGCTATTCACAGTATGATCTGTATAATTTTTATAATGTACTAAATATAACGAGACGTGTAATTGCGTATGTTAAAAACATATAGGTAAGTTTTATTGGAGATAAAAAAATCAAAAAGAAACTTAAATCAGACTTTAAAAAACTATACCACAAATCAATTATTGGAGCAGAAAATTTTACGAAAAATTGTTTCAAGTTTTTTGTTATTGTCTAAAAATTCAGAATATCTACTTCGTTTTAGAAGATATTTCTTAATTTTAGGGACCTAAAGTGAAACATTCCCTAAGAATATTCAAAGAACAAACTAAAAATTAAAATCAGTATCCACGACAATTTTCTGTGGTAATTACGCCGGCTGTGGCAGTAGATAAGGCCGAATCCATCGTCGTCGCCTTGTATTATATTTTGGATCCGACTGAATAGATTCCTGTGAACTAGTCTTTTAATTAGTTCCTCTCAGTCCTTTCGGTCCGGGACAGGTAACATACGGCTGGCAGTCTCCATTCCCTAGCATCGGGCTACGATCGCGCTGACCGAGCCGTATCTAAACTAGTCTTTTACTTAGTTCCTCTAGTGCCTCTCGGTCCGGATCCGATAACATACGGCTGGCACTCCCCACTCTTGCCTAGCATTGGGCTGCTATAACGCTAGCCGATTCGTCTCCGTCGCATATTATTATATATCGGCCACAGTCTCGATCTCTGAATAGGTCCTGAGGAACTAGTTCTTTGAAAACCGGGAACTAGTTTCTTTCATTTCGGGGCCGGAATAGTTCATTGGAACTAGTTCGTTCACGAACTACGCACGTCTATCCTACATACCTATCGCAGTTAGTGATAAGTAAATGCAAGACCAAGATCAAAATCTCCATGATCTTGGTCCTGTAGGGCCCCGTCTTACTCTTGTTGTAAGACTTTTGCAAGTCTTGCATTTTGATGACAGATTTTTACAGAGGCAAAAATATCAGAAAATATATACCGGGTGCTTCTTAAAAGTGGCTCACCCCTATAGCTTTTTTTTTCAGACAAAAAAAACGAGATTTGGTATGGTAGTATATGACATAAATTAGGATTGATTGATATTCAATTGCCTAAATCAAATACGATTTGGGCATCTTTTAACTGGTCCGGACAAGACACGAAAAACGATTTTAAATTAGACGAGACCAAACCTATTTTACCAAGGCTGCTTGACTAAAAATGAGTGTTTTAAACACAGCCATGGCACACTCGATTGAAATTTAAAATACGATTTTTTAACCGAAACTGTCAAAAGTTGACATATGATATGTTATTCTATTCACAGTGTCATTTTCTATCAAAGAAACTAAAAATATACTCAGGGTATACTACTTAAAATACTCTTTTTTAAATATTTTTAATGTAGAAAGTGCATTTAGTAAAAATCTATTAAAAAAAGATTAAGACAAAGTCTACCTATTAAACTGTAAGATCAAAGGAGTTGGATCTTAAGGGGCGTCCAGACCAGATGAGCGAGCAGTAACGAACGCGAGCAAACATTTATTCAAATTCGCTCGTGATTTATGCTGCTCTCAAGCACATGATCAGCTTCCGTCCAGACCTAGCGATTATTTGTATGTTCGGCGTTGATCGGTGTGTGGCACTTCATGTTCATAATGTCGGAAAAAATTATTGCTTGTATGTTTTTCATTGTATTTTATAAATTGTTGAAACGTCAAAAAAGAAAACGACTGCAGAGGAGATGGTGGAACATAACTCTTTTTAAAAATCGAGTTTCTCATGGTGGTAACAATTTACTAAACGATGTTGAAACAGAAGATTCTGGAAAATTTAAGAACTTTTATCGGATGTCACTTCCAGATTTTAATACCTTATTAGATTTAATTGACATAAAAATAATAAAAAGTGATACCAATTACCGAAAAGCGATTTCATCTAGAGGAAGGCTAGCTATAACCTTACGGGTCTTGGCGATTTTTGTACTCCTCTATTAGTTCTAAAACAACTTCATTCGGCCATTCCATTTTTGATATTCGATCGCAAACGTGGTAAACAAAATCCCGTCCAAACCGAACGTGCAATAGCGCAAATTTTCTTTGATGTACCGACACGGCGTGGAACAGCGTCGAGCGCGAGCAAGCAGAAAATTTTCGCCACTGCAAGAAAATCTACAAAATAAAATAGTTATTTTTTGTAAACACTTCTGCGTTAATTCCAAACGGAAAATACTTGTCAGAAGTTAGGTTTACAGATATACAAATTGGCCAAAGAACAAAAAAATGCTTAACGTTTCGTAAAGTTCATCTCTTTCCGTCGTATAAAGAAAAAAAAACTATTTAAAATATTTAAATTCAACTATTCGAGAACACTTTAGTTTTTTAAAACAGATACGTCTACAAAAACCGTTGACGTTCTGTTAATTTTTTTTGCTTCCGACGACGGAAAGAGATAAACTTTCCGAAACGTTAAGCATTTTTTTGTTCGTTAGGCAAATTTGTATATCTGTAAACCTAACTTCTGACAAGTAGTTTCCGTTTAGAATTAACGCAGGAATGTTTATAAAAAATACCTATTTTATTTTGTAGATTTCCTTGCAGTGGCGAAACACCCATATAGGATTTTTTTGGAGATATAATTCAATGTTACGCCATTGACCAGACCACGCCCCTCTCCCATCGAGCTACGGAAAAAAAGACAGATCGCTCCGGCATTGCGTAAGTTATGGTCTGCTGATTTTTGCTACCGCCACGGACTGCCTCGATGATTTATAGAGCTACGGTTTTACCGGTTGCGAACCATCCAAGTAGTACCTATCAGCCGCGTGCTGTCTATCTGAAATTAAATAATAATTGAAAATTTAAACGCTATTTTGATGGCCGCGGAAGATAAATGCTCTTATCGCTATAAGATAATAACAGAGATTTCTTGAACTGAATAACGCCAAGCCTATAGAGTAATGGTGTTTGAAGTTTCTTCTTTTATTTACACTTAGTAAAAGTTCTTTTAGGTTAGAGTATTGAATAAAGTACCTATTGGTTATTATATTAATACGACACTATATAGGGTGATTCACGGCGATGGCACGTTAGATGTTTATGGACTGAATTGGTGATAGAATTATTTCGAAAATTTGGTTTGGTTTTTCATTTTTTAGAAAATTTGAATATTTACGTAAAGGCATCTGCTCCATATTTCTAAAATATTTTCAGAATTACAGTGTTGCCGCATCATTCGAAAAATCGTAGCATCTTTCTTATTTTAAATGAAACACCCAGTATATTATTACATTTTTGAAAACTCCTCTCATATCTCATAATTTTTATATTATACTAACCTATACCTACCTCTAATAGTTTTTAAGATAAAAAATAAAACATGTGTAAAATTGACAAAAACATGATATTGAATAAGCATTGGTAAAATCACGAATTAAACATTTTTAAAGTTGAAATTTGGGTTATAAGTTAACGAAAGTCGATATATTCGATCTGTCTAAATAAACCAATTGGATATTACACAGAGTAATTAATAATGAATATTCTTCAAAAAATCAAAAGACTAATAAAATTGCTTTCTAACGATATATCATGTTCCTATACCATGGGCCGGATGGGCCCCCTCCCCCCCCCTCTGTATCCGCCACTTGTCATGTTGATATAATAACACACTTTCAAACAAGAGAAGAAAAAAAAAACAAAATAAACAAATCGTTTCTCTTCCTGTTTCAGAAAATCAGACACTACAAAGATCGATTCAAAAGACAGCAAGGAGCGCATCTCTATCTTCCCGGGAGCTATGTGACAGAAGGAGACCAAGGACCCGATGCTGGACCTTGGTCAGAGTGGTCAGAACCCAGTCCGTGTTCCAGAACGTGCGGAGGAGGTGTCAGTACGCAGTACCGACAGTGTCAGCAAGGTTACACGTGCCAAGGACCGGAAAGGAGGCATTTTTCATGCAACACTCAAGTGAGTAGTATTATTTTATTTTTAGAGTTTGTAGACTTTTTTTGTGAAGCCTCAATTAGAGAAAATAGCTACAGATAAACCAAAATAACTAGCTAAACAAAAATAGGCCTTACATGTTGCTGTTTTATTAATTAATACTAGCGTGTACCCGCGACTTCGTTCGAATTAATCATTTGTAATGGTGATGATAAAGCAAAGCAAGAATTTCCATTAACCTACAAACTGGATAAAATTTTCTCACATTTATGTCAGCATGAGAAAAAACAATATGGCGTTATTATTATATAACTTGGTAATATTTGAGGGGTAGTTTCATTTCATTGGAATTTGACTTCCGTTCGAAAAATCCGTTTGCCAAAAATAAGCTTTTTACGTGAAGCAGTTTAAGCAGAATCGTGGTTAATCAATTACCCAACCTTTTGGAACACCCTGTATGATTTTTTAAAAAAATTTCAAAATATGTAAAAAAACAAAATAAATTATGCGTGTCCATACGTTTTCCCGAAAGACTAACCGTTTTTTAAATAACAAATATTGTAATATTTGAGGGGCGTTTTCACCCTCTTGGAATTTCAGATTCGAGAAACCCCTCCTTATCGAACTTCTACATCCCATAGTCAATCCGTTTACCAAAAATCAGCTTTAAACGTCAAGCAGTTTAAGCAGAATCGTGACTTACTCAATGGTCATATTTTATGAATCACCCTGTATAAATTTTTAAAAAATCTTAAAATATGTAAAACAACAGAATAATATATACGTTTTTAAGAGTTTTTCCGAAAAACTCACCGGTTTTTAAATAAAAAATGTTCTAATATTTGAAGGATGGTTTCACCCCCTTAGAATTCGAGTTTCGAAAAATTCCTTCTTATCGAACCTCTACACCCTAAAGTCAACTCGTTTTCCAAAAATCAGCTTTTTACGTTAAGTGCTTTAAGCAGGATCGTAAGTAATATTCGTGACTAGATTTTTTGAAACACCTTGTATACATTTTTAAAAAATCTTAAAATATGTAAAAAAACAAAATAAAATACACGTGTTTAAGCATTTTTTCGGAAACTTGACCGTTTTTTAAATAAAAAATATTGTAATATTTGAGGGGAGGTTTCACCCCCTTGGAACTGGAATTTCGAAAAATCCCTCCTTAACTTACTGAAAACAGGCAATTTTTTGCAGAAATAGTTTTATTCTTTCAAGTCACCACCCTTTACTTTCAATAATTATATAAAAAATGTCTATACCTATGTGGCGGATTCATCTATCCAAAAAAATCCTTATGGGTTTTTCGCCACTGCACTGCAAGAAAAATCTACAAAATAAAATAGTTATTTTTTGTAAACACTTCTGGCGTTAAACCTAAACGGACGCTGCTTGTCAGAAGTTGTGTTTACAGTAATAAAAATTTCCCTAACAAAGAAAAAAAAATGCTTAACGTTTCGGAAAGTTTTCTCTTTCCGTCGTCGGAAGCAAAAAAAAATATAAAGAATCAAGAAAAAAACTATTTAAAATATTTAAAGTGAACTATTCGAGAACACTTTACAATTCCATACATACGAGGCGTTTCTGAAAAAATAAGAAGGATATGAAAACAATATAACGTACAAACATCTTTCAAAACACAAAATACACTTAGATCAATTTTATCACATACTAAACCAATGAATACAGAACAACAAACAAAAAATGTAATATACCAAATACCCTGTGAATGCGATAAATTTTACATTGGTGAAACATCTAAACCCTTAAATGTTAGAATTAAAGAACATAAAGATTATTTAAGAAAGGGAGACTTTCACAAATCTAAGATTTGTCAGCATTCATGGGACACAGGGCACAGAATAAATTTTAATAACGCCAAAATTATAATGAAAGAAGCGATAGCCTCTAAAAGAAAAATAAAAGAGGCTTTTTTAATTCAATCTAATAAAAATAAATGTATTGCTCATGCATCTGTAGATGTTAGTAATGTATGGCAATCGCTTCTTTGATTTTAAAGAACATTACATAAATAAACATAACATACCGTTTTACCTTATTAAGTAATTATCAGGTAGTAATTGTTAATTTTGAAGTTTAACTTAATATAATGTCATTTTAACAGAACGTCAACGATTTCTTGTAGACGTATCTATTTTAAAAAGTAAAGTGTTCTCGAATAGTTCAATTTAAATATTTTAAATAGTTTTTTCTTGATTCTTTATATTTTTTTTTTGCTTCCGACGACGGAAAGAGAAAACTTTCCGAAACGTTAAGCATTTTTTTTTCTTTGTTAGGCAAATTTTTATTACTGTAAACACAACTTCTGACAAGCAGCGTCCGTTTAGGTTTAACGCCAGAAGTGTTTACAAAAAATAACTATTTTATTTTGTAGATTTTTCTTGCAGTGCAGTGGCGAAAAACCCATAAGGATTTTTTTGGATAAATAATTATATATGTATGTTACAATGAAAAAAAATAACTATCCCCTAGCATTTCTATTTGTAATCAAAAAATTCATTTTTTTACATATCCATAATTAAAACAGGCCAAACTATTATAATAAAACCCTGCAATTTCTTAGTAATCTATAAAAACTATTCAAAACTAACATTTTCTTTAATTCAAGTTTTTTAGACATATATTTACATTCTAATCCCTGATATAAAATTAAGAAATATAAGAAATTTCACAAAATTCAATTTTAAGGAATTAAATACAATGGCCACCCATGGTGCATGTGTAATTTTAAATTTTGGCTGTAAATATCGCTTTCTGTTAAAAACGAAAATAACAAAAATGTCATGACCTGTTGGTCAAGGACGTCCCCGTCATAAAACCACGTCACAATTTTTCTTATTATCGTCATTATGCAACTGATCATCATGTGCATTCACAAGACTGTAATTGATTGACCAGGTTTGAGAACAATAAAAGATCTTAATGGGAACCTTTGAAATTTTTATCGACTCTCTTTGAGAAATTCTCTCGATTATCTATGATCTGAAAGCTGGAATCATTCGAAAGTAGTTAATATTAATTACCATCAAGTTAGGTAATATGTTAAGTCGATATGGGAAAAAAGAAATAACTGTGCATGGACCCGAAGTTTTTATTTAGGAAGATTGATCAAAATTGTTTTGTATAAATTTAATTAAGGATTCTTTTTATAAAATTGTAATTAGAAGAATACCTATTTTTTGATCAAATTAATAAAAATTTAAGTATCATTATCAAGATCACTTTACAGGTCTTCTAACTGAGCACATTATTACTTTTCATGCTCATCAGAAATAATTCAAAGTGATAAGTATAGATTGTCTCTAGTTCCCCCTAGTAAATTCCACTATACATACAGGGTGAGTTTCCTACGATGGTCTCTATGGGTATCTCGGAAATTACTGGAGATAGAGAGTCGGTTAAAGGGGAAAGAACTGCAGTTTTGTAATATATAAATATGCGCCTTTCAGATTTTTGAAAAAGTTCATGGCTTACTAGATATTTCGAAAAAAACAAATTTCGGCTGTTTTAAAAATTATCCCTAATTCCATTATAAGCTATTTTTTTTTCTAAAACCTGTCATTTTTGACATATGACACAAACATATGTTTTTTTAAAATGGAAACCATAGTTGACCTTCATAAAAAACGCCATTTTTCAAGCTTTTCAGCGAAATAAGCTATAATATGTTTTCTTCGAAAAATTACTGAGTTATAGTCAATCCTTATAATTTTTAAACAATTTCACTTAGTTAGCCATGGAAACAAGTTTAATCGTCTTTGCTCTCAGAAATGTAAAGTTGTCACATCCAAACTTTGTAAATTAAAATACACAAAAATTGTAAATATGAATTTTTCAAATGAAGAAAAGCGTGTAGGATTATTATTTGTTCAACTTTTCTTGACCATACATTTTCGAGGATATGTTGACCGGTGAATGTTACGTTTTTTAGAGAATGGTTTTCAAGACATGTTTGAAAAGTTAAATTTACTTATAGCCAATAATTCTTATCTTTCTTGACTAATTTCACTTAGATTATATGGTATTCTTATTCTGTTATGATTTATAACTTATAAAAAGTCAGAATATAGTATTAAACGGTTCTTTACAATTTACATTACACAAACTTAAAAAAATACTATCACTACCTACATACACTTTAAGTTATTTTAGAAAATGTTGGCAAAAAATATGGTTTTCATTAATAGAATAATTTTTATATTCAACTAGGACATTCAAAAAAAATATTTGATTACAAATAAAAATGCTGGGAGATAATTTTTTTCTTGTAACATACATATATAATTATTGAAACTAAAGTGACTTGAAAGAATCAGTAAAACACAAAGAAGTATATAACAGTCGTCGACACTACTTAAACCAAAGTCATTTTGCGAAAAATAAAACACGCTTTACGACCATATTGTAAACTTTGGAATTTGTAATTTAGTTTGTTTATGTCTCGTGTTGGCGTCCTTAGTGCAGAACGTTACTTATTGAAAATATACAGGGTGCTTTTGACACGAGAACATGTAAATCTTATAAACTTAAAGATACAACCGTGAAATAACTAAGAATGGTATTTCATGATATTTCATTTACGTATCTTAAAATTATCCCCTCTATCTATAACCACATTTTATTTTTAGGACTGTCCCGACACTGGTGACTTCAGAGCCCAACAATGCTCAGAATACGACGATGTACCATTCGACAACGTGAAATACCAGTAAGTATCCATTTAAGTACTTGAAATAAAATTTTATAGAGTTCTTTATCATTTAGGTGGGTACCGTACACAAAAGGTCCAAACCCGTGCGAACTAAACTGCATGCCCAAAGGGCAAAGGTTTTATTACAGACACTCGCAGAAAGTTGTCGATGGTACCAGGTGTAATGACGAAACGCTGGACGTTTGTGTCAATGGGGAATGTCAGGTGAGACAAAAACATCAATCTTATTTTTTACGTATTTTACTTTTCATGGAATATACACTCAGATGCAAAAAAAAACGCAACAGATTTTTTTTCTTCAAGTGTAAAGTGTTCCATTTTTTTATTTTTATCTTTATTTTCGAGAATTTTTTTAGCAAACTGTATATAAAACTATCAACTTTAATTCATAAACTCAGTTTTTTATAAACTCTAGTATGTGGCTTATTATACAGGGTTAATTGAAGGATTCTTTTTCATTCTAACTTTAAAACACCCTGTGCATTAATTTCGTGAGTAACTTTTCCTAAAACATTATTTTTCGATCGGAACCATGTCTCCTGAGCATTCTGTTTTTTGACTCATATCAACATATGCCTTGGTTAAATTTTAAGAGCGAAATGAATTTGCCACCAACAATTTGTAATTTTTTTAACTGTCATTACTTTATGATGTTATTTTTTAATATCACGAGGTGGCGTTGGCGACTATTGTCATAATGTCATATCGACACTGATTCTTCTTCTTCTAGTGCAGATCCATTAATGGATGTTTGCGATAACATTTTCCATTGCTTCTCCGTTCCGGGCGGTGTCTATTAACGACTGAACATCGAGTAGTCCTGTCCACTGTCTAATATTCCTCAGCCAAGACATTTTCTTCCTTCCGATACCCCTCCGGCTTTCGATCTTGCCTTCTATCAACAAATGCAAGAATTGATATTTGGGGTTTCGCATTATGTGCCCCAGGTATGCGGTCTTTTTCTTATTAATCAATTCAAATAATTCACGCTCTTTGTCAACGCGTCTGAGAACTTCCTCATTTCTCAATCTAGTCGTTCAAGGTATCTTCAGGATTCTGCGATATAGCCACATCTCAAAAGCCTCCAATTTGTTGATGGTAGCTGCTTTCAATGTCCAATCTTCCATACCATAAAGGAGCACCGACCATACATAACACTTTACGAATCTTAATCTAAGACTAAGGTCAAAATCAGAACAGACAAGTACTTTTCGAAACCTCAAGAATGCCTGCCGAGCTTGTTCGATGCGACATTTAATTTCCTTGTCTGATGTCCAATTTTCGGAGAGCCAGATGCCCAAGTACTTAAATTTATCTACTCTTTCTATGGGCCTTGAGTTAAATGTTAGGATGGAGTTTATAAACACATCTGGATTTCTGGATATAATCATAAATTTGGTTTTCTTGATGTTGATGTTTAAACCCATTGCTTTGCTCTGTTCTCCTACCTTGTTGACCAGTTGTTGTAGGTCGTGTATATTGTCTGCAATTAGACCGTATCGTCGGCATAGCGGATATTATTAATCCACACTCCATTAACTTTGACCCCCATTTCCACGTCCTCCAGAGCCTCTTGGAAAATAGCTTCTGAGTATAAATTAAATAGGAGTGGAGACAGCACGCAACCCTGTCGTACCCCCCTTCTAACTTGTATGGGATTGGACATGGTATTGGACAATTTTATTTGTGCTGTTTGGTTCCAGTATAACTTCTCAATGCATTGGGTGTCTTTATGATCTATATCAAGTCTTTTCAGGAGCTGCATTAATTTGTGGTGCTGTACGCGATCGAATGCCTTTTCGTAGTCTATGAAACACAGACACACATCCTTTCTCTGATCGTAGCAGTTCTGGACAAGCACCTGTGTTGCAACTATCGCTTCCCTAGTGCCTTTAACCCTTGTCTGAACCCCATTTGCGAATCGCTTATGTCCCTTTCACACTGATTATAACTCTATATTCAAATTTAAAAAATATTAAGAAGTAACGATACAGGCTTCGTTTTAATAAATATTAGTAACACTAACAGAACTATGGACATTAAATTAAATAACTGTAATAACCAGGTGTGACAAACAAACAAAAAACTTGTAAAAAATACTGTAATACTCTGTATTACCTCCCCCCCCCTGCAATTTATGACTGTCTGTAGACGTCGATTTATATTGTTAATGAAGCTGCAAATATGTTGTGTTATGTTTTCCCATTTTTCTTCAAGGACCAAGCAAATATTCATAATTTCAGCCATATTCAACTAGATAAATGACTTTTACACAATCTACTACACTAAGAATACAATACCACATTCAATCGTACACAACAATAATCACCAAAGTCACCTCGCAATTATGAAGAATAACATCAAAAAGTAACGATAAGTGAAAACATTGCAAAATGTTTGTAGCAAGTTCATTTTGCTCTTAAAAATTAACCAAGGCATGTGTTGATATGAGCCAAAATAACAAAATGCTCAGGAGACATGGTTCTGATTGAAAAACAATGTTTTAAGAAAAGTTACTCACGAAATTATTGTAGAGGGTGTTTTAAAGTTAAGGTAAAAAGCAACTCTTCGTTAACCCTGTATAATAAGTCAAAAATTGGCTCAATTGATAGAGCAGATAAAGCTTGCGTTGCTTCACATACTTTTGATCATTGATCATTGTATAGATGTTAATAATTTAAAATTAATCAGACATGTTTGAAAAATTATAGGTAATTAAATGATTATGGGAACACATCAAAATAATTAAATATAAAAAAAACAATACGAACATAGATAATGGTTCTATTTCTTCTAGTTCTCCTGTCCCTATTACTCTAGTGTCGGAAATTTATTATAATAGTTTTTCTGAAATCAATTGGAATGGATTGAGACTCTTAATTTCATTTTATATAATCTGGACAAATGATAATCTGGAACACATTGTTTGTTCACACTTCAATTCGCAGACGATCGAATAATAGTCGCCAATGACAAAGACGATATGGAATATATGCTAAGAAAACTTATTGAAGAATACGGAGAATGGGGCCTTGACAGTTAACATAGTCAAAACAAAATATTTATGTATTAACGAATATATTCAGTGTCAAGAGTATGAATACTTGGGAATTACAATTGATAACACTGGAACTGGCTGCAGAGAAATAGAGAAAAGGATTATCAACGCGAAAAAAATAATCGGATGTCTAAATGGAATATTATGGAGCAAATCAATAACAAAACGAAGAAAATTCAATATATATGAAACCATGACAGCATCCTCCTGTATGGAGCAGAAACATGGAGAATAACTGGGAAGAAAGACAAGAAGAGGATAGAGGCCGTAGAAATGGATGTCATTCGAAGGTCAATGGGAATTTCAAGACAACAACGAATAAGAAATAATACCATAAAACAACAAATAGGTATATATATATATATATATATATATATATATATATATATATATATATATATATATATATATATATATAAACAATAAATAGTACGATAACACTGGATATAGAGAAAAAGCAGCTGATCTGGTACGGACATGTAGAGCGAACGAAGAATACAAGATGGCTCAAGAAAATAATCAATTGGCAACCAAAGGGCAGAAGAAAACAGGGAAGACCGAAACTGGAATGGCAAAAAAGCGTACATAAAGCGATGAGTGAAAGAAACCTGTCAACAGAGGATTGTACGAATAGAACAGGCTGGAAATTGGGTATGGGACAACGTAGAAAAACGTTCTAAACCGACTAATATAATATATACAAACGAATTAAGAGTTCTAGTAGTTTCAGTTGACTTCGGAAATACTATACACACGATTGGTTTTGTCGACAAAACTCTTCCTTTTTTTGTTTCATTTTCTTGCTGGGAGATGTTATTCGGCTATCCCATCGTAAAAATATAATGAAGCTTATTGACTACAATTTTTTGTTGTTGTTTTAGAAAGTTGGATGTGATATGATGTTGGGTTCGGCCCTCAAAGAAGACGACTGTAGGGTTTGTGGTGGAGATGGCAGCACCTGCAATACAATTACCAACACGTTAGAGCTGAACGATATGCAAGTTGGTGAGAAAAAATAACTCATGTTACGTATATGGAAAAATATAAAATCTAATTTTTATTTGTAGGATATAATGATATTTTGTTGGTGCCTTCTGGTGCTACTAATGTAGTGGTTGAAGAAGTAGCACCATCCAATAATTATTTAGGTAATATATGACCAATAGAATATACAGGGTACCAATGAATGATTGCGAAAAAAAAATAATCTGATTACTTTTTAAAAATAATGGACATTCTTTAATATTAATATTGCAAAAAATATATTGTTAAAAAATATAAGTTTGATTAGTAATTTTGACTATTTTTAGCTATAAGGAATACATCTGGCCATTACTATCTTAATGGTAACTGGAGGATAGACTTTCCAAGAGCTGTGGATTTTGCTGGAAGTAAATTCCACTACGAAAGGTATCCCCAGGGATTCGCTGCTCCAGATAAAATTTACACACTTGGACCAATAGACGAACCTCTGTTCATTGTGGTATGTTATTAGAAATTTTGTTCGTTGTCTGCTGGTTTTAATTTTCTATTAAATATTTTAGTTGTTGTATCAAGACTCAACAGTTCCTGTAAAGTACAAATACAGTTTACCGACGAATGTCCAGCCTGGATCAGAATCTGAAACCTACGCTTGGACTTTCGATGAGTTCAGCCCGTGCTCAGCTACTTGCGGGGGAGGTATTTATAATTTAAATATTAGAAGAATTTTTAGTAATATCGATATACTATACTTCCAGGATCAAAATTCCGCCACCCTAAATTGACTAAGTTTGATGTTTAATAATTTTTTATTTTGTAATACGATTTTTATGATTATGGTATCAGTGTGAAGATAAATTTATTGCCATTATTCTTTATTACTTTAATCGCTTCTATTCTTCGGTTAGGTGGGTTTATACCGGGGTAAATCAAAACTTTGTTTTTTGCAATAAATTCCAAACACCCTGTGGAAAAAATGAGACGGGCATTTTGGATAAAAAAAACACTTTCCTGTAATCTTAGATGCATTCCTAACATTTCACTTTTTAAATTATTCCTTTATCTCTATTGTTTTATGAGCTACACATTTTTAAGTGAAGTATTGATTTCAGAGAATTTCATTGACAAAAACAATAATTTTATAATAATTTTAATAACGTGTTTGTCCAACTCTCGCAGCAATAACAGCTCGAGTTTTTTGTCATCGAATGAATAAGCGTATTTATTCTTTCTTGATCAATAGCTTGATGAATATCAGCTATATCAGATATATATAAAAACAAATTCGTCTACAAACTAATACCATAATCATAAAAATTATTGGATTACAAATTGAAAAGTTATAAAACATCGAACTTAGCCAAAATTTTAGGGCTGCGGAATTTTGTGCCGAGATGTTCATATTTAAAATTGAAATATTTATTATTATTGAACTAGTTTTCTATAATGAAGAATCGCCATAGACGTGCTTGCACGCACATTTCAGCAGCGTCTAACTCAGCAATTCAAAATTAACAAAAGTTATTAACATTTTACTGGTTTCGAGGTCATCAGAAATAATCAAATTCCCATATGTTTGGTTATACTGCTTATGACTAGTGTCATATATAGTATTCGCAAAACAATTTCCGATGCACGTGATCAACTTTGAGTGACCAGCGATGGCGACCATAGGCGTGCACACGGGGCGGGGGCCGGGGGGCCATGCCCCCCTAATCAGCATAAATAATGCTTGTAAATTAAAAAAAAACTCAAACGGAGTAAGTTAAAAAATAAAAAAAACCTCAAACGAAAACCCACAAAAAAAACCGTTGGAAAAGCTTTAATAGAAATATAAGGAAAATGTTACTTTGCGCACGCTCGTATAAAAAAAAATCGGCGCTATTTTTTCTCCCTGTCTTTTTTTTTTGATTCGTAATCTTTAACTTTGGCCCCCCGTTATTAAAAAGCCTGGTCACGTCTATGATAGCGACAACGCTGCCAGGTTGTGATGAATTTATGAGATAAATCTTAATTTAAAATTGACAAACAATATATTATATCATTTTTTAAAGAGTTTTACATGTTATTTTTAATTTAATAACTAATATTTTAGTAACGAATTGATTTATTTGTTTTATAGCTTATTTTACTTATTACATATTGGCAAAAACTAGTCCATTATAAAGATTATTCTAAGCGTTATTATGTGTTATTTATTTATTGATGTACATCTTACAACGCCATAAGTGGTACTAACAAGTAAGAGGGTGCTATTAATGCACAACCTAATAATCACAGAATTTAATTAAAACTATGAAAGTGGTATAATGTGCTTATCAATCAAACTTACTTCTCTGACTGCAGTCAAGGGTAATAAAGGACCTTGTCACGTTCTTGTTCAAAAGGTTTATCGGGGAAGTTACAAGCTCTTTGCCTCGACTGTTTAAATGCTTCGGCATATTTTCAACACACAATTTCAAGAAATGCAATACAAAAACTCGAAAATTTAGTTCTTAAAAGAACTGTTTGTGCTTTAAAGTGCAAAATTTAAAAAAAAACTACGAAAATAAGCAAAAAAAACGAAAATTGCTCACAAAAATTCAACAACAACACAATATTATACAAAATAATGACTGACATTAGGATAATTGTCAAATAATAAAGGACAACATTGCTGAACACGGCCCAGTACCAGTGTGAGCAACATAGCGATAATAAAATTCGGTTTAAACTAGCGATGGGACTATCGAATGAATTAGACTATCGAATGGTTACTGAATGAATGATTTCAACTATCGAATGGTTTTATTCGAATAAAATCATTCATTCATTTGTATACTAAAGCATATGTGACAACCTCGCCGTGCAACTAAATGGTTATCGTTGAGCCACGACTATCGAATGCTTTTGATAAATGAAATTTAGTATTCGTTTGATTTTTGTGTACGTCAGTGCATTATTAGTTCTTCCAAATTTTTATAACTTCACCTTATAAATACTGTGCTCTTTTTGCGTTTATTAAAATATTTAAAATACTAAAATAGTAGTTTTTTTTTAATTGACGATTGTGTGCGTGTGCAGGTGTCACACTTTTTCCGAAAATTTGTGTGATTTTCCGTAGCCCGACCTTTCAATTATTTTATTTTATATGGGTATATATGGTCTATTTTTTAATGGGAAATTTTGAGAAGTAGCAATTTTTAAGAGAGATGAGATGAACTTAGAATTAATTTTAAAAATACATATTTGTATTTTAGATGTTTTAATAATATGAATTAGTTGAACTTAATAATCATATTTAAGTAATGTGGTTAAATAAATGGTTATCGAACTCAAACTATGGGGTGTGAAAATTAAATTGACGCTTTTACGAAAGTTGGAAAGAAAAGACGAAAGTTTTACACGTGCCAATTAAAAAAAGGTTAACGATGTTTGTATTTTGTTTATGCTAATTCTCTTACATGTAGTTTTTTGCGAAGTAATATTTCATTTATTTTTTAAAGTAAATGCCAGTAAAAATAAATATTATTTTTAAATAGTAATATAAAGTAGGTACCTAATATTAATAATTTTGATTTCTAATTTTTTATTTATATTTTCCTTCCATTACACTGCATGCTTAGAAAATTAATAAATGTTTATATTTCATGATTTTAAAGTTTGTTGTTAATATAACAAATTAGTTCTGTAATTATTATTATTTAATAAACCAACGTTGCCAAAAAATTTAAAGACTATATTATTTTTAAATAGAATCTAATATAAATAATTTTGACATCTAATTTGTTGTTTATATTTTGCTACTACGTAAAAAAATGTTTATATTAAATTATTTTAAATTTTGTTGTTAATAGGTATAACAAATTATTACTGTTATTATTTTTCTTATTAAGCCAGCCTTTGCTTAAAAACATTAAACATCATTTTACTACATCCAAAATAACAAGTATTATTGCAGTGTAACAACAGAATATTAATAAAAAAAATGCAAAATATATGACATACTATCCCTAACTAACTAAAGCCAAACAATAATATTCTTTGCTAATATCCTTTAATATCAACTAATACCAATATATGGCAACAGCGCCCTTCATAATGTATTTTCTGTGTAAATACTAGCACCTCAATAAAAAAAATAATGTGTCCTTATCTTTATATGACTCCGCAAAAAATCAAAGATGCCGGCTTCTTTCATAGCATTGCCACCGACCGCTGACGGGTTTCTCGGAAAGAAACCTATGTCGCCGGGCGACAACTAAAATCCAGTTAATATTTTATTATAATCGATCCTGACGAATAAATGAATTTCATAAATGAATGAATTTTATAAATGAATGGTTTTTGCTGCCGAATTACTAGAATACAATATTTCAAGGCAGATGACGCATCTATTCGATAATTTTTATTCGAATAGTTTTCAACGAATGTTTTTTTACTAGCTATCGAATTATTCGAATGAATTGCAACTATCGAATGTTTCGATAGTATTCATTCGATAGTTCCCACTACTAGTTTAAACTAATTTTTGCAGCTTTAATCTAAATAAAATATATGTTACAATCATTTGCTCTATAAAGTAAAATAAAGAGCTGCTCGGTATCTTAAATTATACAACAAATTTAAACATTTTTGCCAAAATTTCATTTAGTCAGGTTTATAGACTTTAGTGTCAATGTCGATGTCGATATGATTGATGACGTGCATCGGAAAATGTTTTCCGATTATAGTAGGTAGTTGCGAATTTTTAATGATACAAAAATATTTTGTGTCTGGACATAAACTAAGATTTCTTT